CTGAGTGGATTTTTACCTAGCTAAGCAATGATTAAATTGTTGCCAGTGAGAACACTTTATACTCCTTTATTTCTTGTATAGTCTTTCAGAAAAACTAAAACTTAGAGTTATCCCAGGCTGTGTTTGCTCACTGAAAACCCAGAATAATTCCAAGTCACTGATCTAGCCACTTAGTGAATTGTTATTAGAAAGTTTACAGAAATGGGGTTATCTAAGATCCTTGCCATGTGAGATTTGGACAAAGAGCAGGCTAAGTGGTTGTGATGCCAGACCACCGACCGGGACCAGCAGCGTGTGCCCTTGATCTGTTTAGGTAAAAGGCGCTCTGAACCTACAGATGGCTGCAAATCAACTGCATGGATGCATGGATGTCCAAGTACAGCCAGGAGACATCCAATTCTGACACTCCTGAAGATGCTTTATAATTAAAATAAAGCATTTTAAAATTGAGTGGTTTTTTATTCATAAGTGAGGGGATATATTCTTTAACTTGGAAACAGGAACTTTAAAAAATCCTTGGGGAAACAACTTGTAGTTATAATCTTCTAACAACATGAATACAACTACTCTACTGAGCTATTACCTTTGTGCGCCACTCTGCACTCCGTGCCAAGGACTTTATCTGCATTGTCTGGCCTAATCCACACAGACATCTCTGGAGTTATTCATTAGCATGATATTTCCTGATGACGAATCTGAAATGCAGAGCAGTTACACAGTGTTCAGTGGCACACAGTTATTAAATGGCAGGGCAGCCAGGGGACCCAGACAGGTTTGACCTCCAAGCTCATGCTCTCACCACCTCATTATCCTAACTTCATGCTTTATAAAGCATGACATGGGATGATGTATGCATTCCTTCAGCTGGCTAATTCAAAATTGTATGAGGTAGAGAGAGCTTCCTGGTATTGTCATCTTCTTACAGACAGTAAAATCAAGGTATAGAGATAACTAACAATACAATTCATATATCAAGCCACTTCAAGGAATTAAAGAAAAGTTTAAATTACTGGAATTTTTCTATTAGCTTTATGTAATTTTTGGAATGTTATAGACGGTGACTTATTTTAGAGTAAAAAACAAGTGACAACTGAATGGTTTAGAGCGATCTATCTATGTATCTATCTATCTATCATCATTCTGCCTTTCAAATAGATAAAATGAAAAAGTCAGTAGTTTTTAAATAAAAAAAGACGTATAAGTCATTACTTAAGTGTTTGGTTTTTTTTTTTTTGACAGGCAGAGTGGACAGTGAGAGAGAGAGAGAGACAGAGAGAAAGGTCTTCCTTTTGCCATTGGTTCACCTTCCAATGGCCACCGCAGCCGGTGCACTGTGACTGGCGCACCGCGCTGATCCAAAGGCAGGAGCCAGGTGCTTATCCTGGTCTCCCATGGGGTGCAGGGCCCAAGCACTTGGGCCATCCTCCACTGCACTCCCGGGCCATAGCAGAGAGCTGGCCTGGAAAAGGGGCAACCGGGACAGAATCCGGCGCTCCGACCGGGACTAGAACCTGTGTGTCAGCCCGGAGGATTAGCCTAGTGAGCCACGGCACTGGCCCACTTAAGTGTTTATTGTCTTAAACACATAGTAGGAAATGATGTCTTCACAGTATCATTTAACTTCATAGTAAAGTGGGTTTATCTCAAGTGTAATAAACAAATAATAAAAATCAGGGCTTAGGTAATATCTCCAGCACTCCAGTTAATAATTTATGGGCCTATGGGAAAGCAGTAGAAGATGGCCCAATTCCTTGGGCCCCTGCACCCCTGTGGGAGGCCCAGAGGAGGCTCCTGGCTCCTGGCTCCTGGCTTCAGATCAGCTCAGCTCTGGCTGTTGCAGCCTTCTGGGGAGTGAAGCAGTGGATGGAAGACCTCTCTCTCTCTCGCTCTCTCTGTCTCTCTTTCTCTCTCTCTCTCTGCCTCTCCTGTCTCTGTATAACTGTGACTTTCAGTACAATAAATAAATCTTTAAAAAATAATAATTTATGAACCTAAATCAGGAAACTCAGCATAACCCAAATTTACCAAAGTATACTCAATGGAAAAAGAACATGACAGTACTAAAGAAATGCAATATAATGTAGCTCAGGAAGCTTGCGACTCAGCAATAACCAGACTAACTCATAAATTAATCTCCAATATCACCATTATCAGTTAACATGGAGAAACTAATTAATAGTACCTCACAAAAAGAGAGTGCCTGATAAATGAATTATGACTTTGGACTATTTTTTTTGACAGGCAGAGTGGACAGTGAGAGAGAGAGAGAGAGAGAGAAAGGTCTTCCTTTTGCAGTTGGTTCATCCTCCAATGGCCGCCACAGCTGGCGTGCTGCTGCCTGCACACCGCGCTGATCCGATGGCAGGAGCCAGGTGCTTCTCCTGGTCTCCCATGGGGTGCAGGGCCCAAGCACTTGGGCCATCCTCCACTGCACTCCCTGGCCATAGCAGAGAGCTGGACTGGAAGAGGGGCAACCGGGGCAGAATCTGGCGCCCCGACCAGGACTAGAACCTGGTGTGCTGGCGCCGCTAGGCAGAGGATTAGCCTATTGAGCCATGGCGCCGGCCTGGACTATTTTAAATACTAAATAAATTAGTAAAGCAAAGTAGAATACAGATAGCTCCTAATACCAGAGATGACAATGGAATTACAGACTCGTTTGCTCCTCTTCTTACCAGTTTGCGTGTTATGCTTTAAGCAAAGTGATTTGAGTGGAAAGGATTGGATGATTTCCAGTAGGGTCTAGTTTGGAAAATTAGAATAAAATAGGAAACCAAACTTTGCTCTTAGAATGTATACTCCCACACTTCTTGTGTTCAATATATGTATATTATTTGACAGGTAGAGTTATAGACAGTGAGAGAGAGAGAGAGACAGACAGAGGGAAAGTTCTTCCTTCCATTGGTTCACTCCCCAAATGGCTGCTATGGCCGGCGCTGTGCCAATCCGAAGCCAGGAGCCAGGTGCTTCCTCCTGGTCTCCCATGTGGGTGCAGGGCCCAAGCACTTGGGCCATCCTCCACTGCCCTCCTGGGTCACAGCAGAGAGCTGGACTGGAAGAGGAGCAGCTGGGACTAGAACCCGGCACCCATATGGGATGCAGGTGGAGGATTAACCAAGTGAGCCATGGCGCCAGCCCCGTGTTCATATATTTGTATTGATTAATTTTTCAAAAACAAAATATGCATATGTGTAGTGTATTTGTGCTATTATTGTTTCCTCTACTTATCAGATTTGTTGAGAATCATGGAGAAACTTGCTGGAGTTTTTGAATTTTTGAACTTGTAAATAATGTGTTTTATGTCTAAGTAACATATGTAACATGTATGTTTGCTTTATTTTTATTTTTGTAGGACCAGTATTTAATGAAACATTTCTACAAATGCATTTTATAAAAAATAAAGTTTAAAATAAGAATTTTTAATAAGAAGTTCATTTTTAATAAGAAGTTTTTAAAAAAAAGAATTATCCTATGACACTGTGAATCTAAAGGCCATACCTTTTGCCTATGGCCTGGTATAGGTCAGAAAGAGTATAGTCAGCTAACCCGAGGTAAACATGAACATAAAAAGTGAAACGAGGAGGCCGGCACTGTGGCGTAGTAGGCTCAGCCTCTGCCTTTAGCGCCTGCATCCCACATGTTGCAGCTGCTCCTCTTCTGATCCCTCTCTCTTTTTATGGTCTGGGAAAGCAGTGTAGATTGTCCAATTACTTGGGCAACTGCACCTACATGGGAGACCCTGAAGAATTTCCTGGATCCTGGTTTTCAGATTGGCTCAGAGTGAACCAGCAGATGAAAAACCTTTCTCTCTGTCTCTCCCTCTCTCTGTCTGTAACTCTACCTCTCAAATAAATAAATAAGTCTTTAAAACAAAGTGAGCCTGTAGTTTTCTCATTCATAATCACAGCAAAACAATCAAAGTTTACTTAAACAGATGATGAATGTCACTGTTGCTTTACATTGTTCTGTTACTAGATCGGAGAAAAAGGAAGTATAAATGTAAAAACAAGGGAGTTATTATTTCATGTGCAAGAAGTTCATGCTGAAAAATTAACTACAAGAGCAATAAGCTGAAATAACTTTAGAAACAAGAAATTCAGAACTGTGGCTATATCAAAATTGAAGAAATATCTCAGAAATCATGAGAATTTCAATTAGCCTTTTTTTTTTTTTTTTTTTTGGCTAGTCACATCTTTTTTCTCAGGGCGTGAGGGAAGAGAGTTACTAGCCTTTTGAAACCAAGGCTGTGAGACTTTCTCTCTCGTGGCCTCAGAATTGGCTGTTTTCAGCACAATAAAGATTAAATTTGCCACAAAATTTGAATGTGGCCTGTGGGCATTTTTTCCAGGATTTTACATGTTTCACATATGCCCGAAATGGTACAGACAAAACCTCTACCTGTTGAATATTTTACTTATTGACATCTACGGTTGCCAGTCAAGAATGGAGATGAAATCACCCATTGAACCATGTTGAATAGAATGATGTATGATGAATCTCAATACTGTCAGTCATCTCTGGTCCCTCTGAGATAAATGAGCCACTTTGCCACATACACAGTCTTCCATGCCACTCCTTAGAGAGTGCAAAGCTCAGAACTGCTTGGGGACTTGGAGAAAAGTGAAAAAGGGAGGAAATAATGTGTCATCTCACTGCTTAAAATCACAAAATTAAAATGCAAAGAAAAAGAAGTGAAAAAAGCTTGCATGCTGCTTATATTATTTGGGGAATAATTACACAAGGGCACCAAGTGATTATTCCATGAGGGTATTTCAAAAAGTTTTGGGAGGTGGAATTAAGAGACTTATTTAATGGCAAAAATTTTGAAATCCATGCATTCAAGGATCTTCAAATGAGTATTACCAGAAGCTATGTATGCATTTCAATTTTTTATCAAAATTAACATCTTTAAATTCCATATCCACTGTTTGAATTGTTGTCATACTATTACATTTTTTAGTTTTGAAAATTCTTCTATTTTAAAAAGATTGAATTGAATGATAAAGATCTCATAAAGAAAATGCATCCTTTCCAGGCAGCCTTTTTAGATGGCTACAGATACTGGAAGTCATGAATAACAGACAAAAGGGTAACATAAAGTTAAGGCTGAAAGTGTGATTGTGCAAGTTTGGGCTAAAGCCTTACAGAGATCAAAAGGACAAAGTGTGAAATCACAGAAAGAGTGCTTTTTTTGACAGGCAGAGTGGACAGTGAGAGAGAGAGACAGAGAGAAGAAAGAGTGCTTTTTAAAGATAAGGATGTGCTCCACATATCTTCAGATCCAAAACAAAGGAATTCCAGGAAGCTTAAGGGCTGGAGCCAAAGATGGAGAAGGGGTTATCTTCAAAGATTTGTGGATGTGCCTTTTGTCTAATACAGTGAAAACCAGTAAAAGCCATGGAAGGCCCACAAGGTAGTTATAAGATTATACTGGCAGAAAAACTATTGGCTTTTATTGAAAAGGATCAATAGAGTACAAAACGAAAGGGGACTTCTGGGCACCCAGTATTTCACCAACAGGAAGCAGGCCTGTCAGATGCAGCTCAGGCACAGATACGTGCAACCTGTCGTGGAAAAGGAAATCTGAGAACAACTTACAGGGCAGAGTCCCGAGCCCAGAGAATGGAGCCAAAAATCCACGAAGGATCACTCTGAAGCCTTGAGACTTAGGAAGAACCATATGTTTTCCTAACTG